GATTCAAAGCAGAATGAGATGGAATTCTAGTTTCCAAAATATCCAAGATGAGCATCCATCTTACATATCCAAAACAGGCAAGGCCCGGCAGCAAGTCGCAGCTGCCTCCCACCTCTTCAGTGCCACAAGCTGGCAAGAGGAAAAGAATTGGGCAAAAGAAATATGTCTTATTGAGAGTCCCTTTTTTTTTTTTTTTTTTTTTTTTTTTTACATAGAGAGAGATTGTTGCAGGACATCCATGAGAAATGCGAGCCAGACCTTCTCATAGTTTAGGGAGCTCGTGACCATCCTGTTCCCTGATGCTGTACAGAACAAAAGTGCTTAGAGTATTTCCTTCTGTGGGGGAAGATGTAACCGTGAGCAAGTCAGCAAAGAGTTTATGAGACTCCTTGATAGACCCGATCGGTGTGAAACCTTGGGAGTCTGGAGTGTAAGACAGAGAGAAAATGGTATCTGTTTGCGTCTAAGGATAGACAGGAGGTTCTTTTTGTATGCATTGTTAATCTTATCACACTTAAGAAACAAACGTCCAAGGAATGTAACCCTCCTCTCTCCCACAGATCCCCACTCTCTCAGAGTGACGTCTCACTGGACAGGAGCGTTCCTCACAGCCAGTCAGAAAAGCAAGCAGAGCCTGAGACCAAGGAGTCCCTCCCTGATGTGCAGCTCTCGGGCAGCTTCCCTTGCACAAAGCGCTGGCCCCAGCCGCATGCATTGTCGCACGCACTCGTGTGAGCAGTTGGTGTCTAGACGTGAAGGAGACTTGTTAAGCGCTCTGCTGACCCGTAGGGATGGATGGGAAACTACAAGGGGGGGCTTCAGCGTGTGTATAAAGGATGGAAGGACCTGCAGTTAAGGGTTTGGATTTGCGTCTGAGTCCGTGCCATCAGACGCTGCCAGTGCTATGCCTTGTCACCCAAGGGAAACGGTCAAACAGCTGCTTTGGGACAGAATGTCTGTGGTGCTCAGAAAGTGTGGCCTTCCAAGGTACTTCAAGTGCCCCAAAGAACAGAAGCAAGCAGTGACGATTCCTTTCTCTCTCCATTCTAATAGCTGTAGGTAGCGCGCTGGAGAGAGGCTTTGGAGGCTTTCCTCAGCCTCCTCCTTTCCTCGTACCTTGACAAAAGCGGACGGCCAGAGAACAAGACGACCTTACACACTTTTTTGGGGTTTGGTTGTTTTGTATTTTTTAAAATTTCTTGGGTTTTTTGGTGGTTTTTTTTTTTTTGTTTTTTTTTGGTTTTTTTTTGTGTATGTGTGTGTGTGTGTGTGTGTGTGTGTGTGTGTGTGTTTTAGTCCAGTCCAGTGTAGTAAATTCTCTGTCATACAACTGATGAATGTTCAAGGTCCTGCTGCCGATGGACCATGCTCCACTTGAACATCAAGTGGAGCAGGAGGCAGTCTTCATCCAGAAAAGTGGAATTTTGATGAGATGTTGCTGTCTTGTGGAGAGGAATCTGTGTCCCCCAGGCTCAGCCAGCAGGCAGACACAGGTTTCTGGATGGTGACCATCACTCTCTGCCACCGCTCCTGCTGCCTAGTCTCTCTTCATTATTGGAGCCTCTGCTGTTCCTGGCACACTTCTGGAGAGCGTCCTTCTCTCAGCAGGTGGTTCTCAGCCGGCAGGGCCTGGCACTGCCACTCCAGCATGCTCAGGGCTAGTTCCAGCAGCTGCTCGGCGCTTGTGCTGCCTGGGAGCCCCAGGTCTTCCTTGGCCATCTCTGGCACCTAGAACCAGAAAATCATAGAATAACAGAGTGGTTTGGGTAGGAAGGGGCCTTCAGGACTCTCCCGTTCCAAGCCCATGCCATGGGCAGAGACATCTTCCACTAGGTCAGGTTGTCCAAAGGTGCCTCCAGCCTGGCCTGGAGCGCTGCCAGGGGTGGATGGGGCATCCACAGCCTCTCTGGGCAGCCTGTATCACTGCCTCAGCACCCTCACAGTGCTGAGTCTTTCCTCCTCCTGTATCATCCAGATCTGCCCTCTTCTACTTTCAAGGCATTGTCTTTTGTTGTATCACTACTACCCTCCCTTACTACAAGTCCCTCTCCAGCTTTCCCCAGTCCTCCTTCAGGCACTGGAAGGACCCTCTGTGGTGTCCCCAGAGCCTCTTCTGCCCCTGGGCTGAACAACCCCCACTCTCTCAGAGTCATCTCACCTGGACGTGAGTGTCCTTCACAGGCAGTTGACTGGAGCCCTGCTCTGCACGGTGGTGGCCCACCTCTCTGTCCTGGAAGGACACCTCACTCTATCGCCAGCCATGGAGCTCATTGGCCTAGAAGGACAAAGCCCAGGGAGTGGGGCAAGCTCCTTGGGACCAACCCCCATTCCATCTCCAAGGGAGCTTCCCACAGCCACAAAACCCACCTGCATACAAGCGACGCATGAACAAGGTGTTCCTGCTGTTCCATCGTCTACCCCACAGATTTCACAGCGCTGGAATCATTAACCAGAGGAGCCTCAGAAACCCTTCGACCCCCGTTGAGCTGCAAAACAGAAGGAGATTCAACAAGACGTGGAAGGGAATTTAATTATGTGCCCTTAAACAACACTCACACGGGTGCAATTAATGTGTGGCACAGGAGACACAGAGGGGACACGGGCAGAGGACACTGGGAGGACACAAAGACACAATTGGGACGCGAGGACATAGAGGGAACGTGGAGGGGGATGCGTCATAAAATGGGTTGGGACAACGTGGGAGCAGACAAACCGAGTTTGGAGGCCCAGGTTGCAGATCCCACAATGAGAATCACGAAAGAGGGAACAGAGACATCACAAGAAGGTGTTGAGCTTAGAAAGAGTGGCAGAGGAACTCCGCAGAACACAGAATCCCTTTACAGAACAGTGCATCAGCTCCAGGCATTTCCAGAGTCGCAACACTCAGTCACCCAACCAGGTTGGGTTTATCCACGGACGAGCGAGGACGGTCCACGTACTTTGCTTCCAGTCTGCCCTCAATGGCAATTGGTGACATTTGTAATAAATAGGGGAGCACAGATTTCAGTGCTGGTACAGCGAGGTGCTGAGAAGCTGCACGTGCAGCACAAGGGCTGAGTCCACCGGCATCAATGGAGCGAGTGCTGTCTGCCCACCTGCTGGGGTCAGCTTACAGCTCCCCAGGGAGAAACGTGCGTCATCTCCTCGCACAGCAATTAAAGAACGCTGTGACATTATTGGAGGGTTTGGTGTCCTCAGTGGGTGAACCTGGCACCTGCCTGTATGGCAGCGTGTGGCCTTTTGGCTCCAACAGCAATCCAAACCCCACAGAAACAGGGAGGGAGCCAAAGAGCCCCTCAGTGACCTGGGAGCCACAAGGGCCCCACAAGTGGCACCGCAGGGACCCACAAATAAGACACACGGCCCCAGAAGTCCCCCACAGCAGCCTGGGACTGGCAACAGGACCAGTAATTGACCCATAAGTGCCTCCACAAGCGGGGCAGCAGAGACCCACAAATGACCAACAGCAGCCTGTGTCCCAAAAAGTGACACATCAGTACCCCATAAGTGCCCCACAAGTTACCCATAAGTGACCCACAGGTCCCACATCTGCTCCCACGGCTGCGTTGCTTCCACCTGTGCTCACAGGGCTGCACCCTTCACCAGCTGCTCCAGCACTGCTTCACATGCACTCCCCGTACAACTCGCCCAGCACCCCATTTTGGGGGCACCGACCCCTACCCCGCTGTCACAGCCGTGCGCCAAAGGCACCATAACCCCGCTGCGCACGGCCATCAACTCGTCCCAGGACTCCACGCACCTCACAGGCATCCCCCAGTGCGCGGAACTGCCGCTGCCTGCCGCTGAGTCCCACGATCGATCCGGCAGGAAAGTTCTTGCCGGGGTCTCTGCTGCCACCGCGTGGCCGATGCGCGGAACTGCCGCTGCCTGCCGCCGAGTCCCGCCAGCAGCAGAACGCATGCGCCCAGAAATGCGGAAGTGCCGTTCTAACCGCTCTGCGCAGCTCATCCGCCGCTCTCTATGGTGATCAGTCCTCCAGCTAATACGAGCACGCGCCCGGCAACTTCACGACAGGAACTGTTTCTACAAAGCACTGCGGGTACGAGCAAGCAGCCGATCCTCGGACTGCCGGCTCAGCGATATTCTCCCCCTGCTAATCCAGGATGCCCCTCGTCTATTTCCGCCGTTTGATGCCCGAGCCCACCCGGGAACGGACCGGCTCACAGCTGCCCCTCAGCGCCTCGCGGCATCCAACTCGCTCGCCGCCCCGCTGAACCAGCAAACGTCCCCTTCCACCCCCAGCCCCGCGCCGTCCCTCCAGCCGTTTAAAAGCCCTCGCAGCGGCAGTGCAACGCCGCTCGGAGCGGCTCGCAGGGACTCGCAGTCGCGCAGCAGCACCCACCCGAGCAAGTCTCGGGCAAGCACTACATGTGCGCAAATGGGGGCACCGCAACGCGCTATATGTGTGATATATACCGTGATGCGCGTGCGGCCGATTGGCACTGGATTCTTTTTGCTGCAAATAAAAATCCAGCTCATCCCACGTATCCTGCCGACTGGAACAGGACTAAATGCAAGTAAGAGCATTGATTCCCTACGCGATCAGCAGGAGGGAACTGGGGAAGCAACGTCCCTCCCACTGTAAGCAAAGATCACGTTTTTGACCACCTGAGGAACCTGAACATCTGCCAGTTTACGAGTCCCGATGAAACGCATCCCAGAGTCTCGCCCTTGCGCGCTGCTTTCCCATCGGCTGTCACCCGGGCCAGAGGCGAACGGCGGCCACCCAGTCGCCAGTGCGCTCTTATCCTCACGTGGGGTGCTAACTGCTGCGTGCTCGGTTGCTGGCGTGACTGAAGCGTTGGGGAGATCCCCGCGCAATTTGGGTCTGTGGAGAAAGCGTGTGGCGGGGCCGTGCGCTGCGCGGGTGCTGATGCCCTGTTTCCGCGCAGAACATGAGTGGTGGTTCTGGTCCAAAGTAACTCCGTGCATCTTGCTGTGCTGCTGTTAGAGAGGCTGTAGCAGTTGCACTTTAAGCATGTTAACTGCTGTGCTTCCTTGGTATCAGGGTTGGTCAGAAGAGCAGAATAGACTGTCACTTCTTTGAAGCGTGTCCAAGCTGAAGTGGGAAGCTTCACAAAATTCCTGTGTCGGCCTGCTGATCACAGACCTCTTCTCTTAGTTTCAATCCACTTACCCAAGTCTTTTTGTACTTATCCTTTTTTTGTAGGCTACTTTGAAGTCTGTATGGTTACATCTCCACTTTCTTGACTGGGAACTTCAGAAATGGACCCTAGTTGGTTGCCTTTTATCTCCCTGGTGTGGACAAGAAGGTTGCTATCCGCAGTGCTTCTTTTTGTCAGCATGGTCTCATAATTGCAGTGAGCCCACAGAACTACATTCCCTGCTATCACCCTGCTATGTTTTACGTCATGGCAGAGCTGGTAGAACAAAGAGAATGTTTGATAGGTGGCTGTGTGGCTCAAAACATGTTAGGAAAGGAAAGTGCTCTGCAAACGTGTTCCTCCTTTCTATAAAAAGGCCTAGTTAAATCTCATGAATACTTCTCTGGAAAAGTGCTTGTGGTTATTGTTCAGTCTTTGTAGTGTATGTTAGAGACGTGTTGCTTTTTAGTGGGACTGACAGTAATTGAGTCCGTCAGATTAATTTGTTGTCGAAATGCTTAGAAATGGAGTTGTTAGTTTGTGACAGGTATGCTGTATTGTTTCCATTTGCTCAGGAGCACAGAGGTCTCCTCTCGATCCGATACCCAATGGAACATGGCATAGTGAAGGACTGGAATGATACGGAGCGCATTTGGCAGTACGTGTGTTCCAAAGATCAGCTTCGGACTTCCTCAGAGGAGGTGAGATATCTCACTGTGTAGAGGCACCGGTGTGTTTCCTTTCTGTGCATAACAGCAGGAGCCTTTGAACTCCAAGAGGCAATCTGGGGCTCTTCCTTTGTTTTTCTTTCTAAACTCATCTGTTGTTCCATTATGTTCTTTTCACCTCTTATGAGATACCACACAAGAAATGTCCAAGCAGAATTTATCCTCACATCTCCTGTATATTTGGCCTGACTCAAAATCTGACTTGCCGAACATCAATTGTTATTCACTCCCTCTCCCTAATGATTGTGCTCTACACCAAGTGCAGCTGACTGTTCTTGTTATGTCTGTACATTGGGCATATCCACTCAGCAGTGTCATAATCTGGTCTAAAGAGGAAGAAAGACAGTCATGCATTCTGGAAGAAGCTGACCAAAAAGTTAGTAAAAGACTGAAAGCAATAGGTTGTGTCATTGGTGTAGGAATATTTCTGCCAGTATAAAATATGGACTGTACGCTTTCACCCTTTCTAAGGCTGCTGTTTTTGTTGCAGATTGTCTTCCTTTTGGAGTGATCTTGATCATCCTTCCCGGCAAAGGCTGACTCACAGGGTGGACTCCCTAAGATTTCTTTATGGCTAGACCAGAGCCCTCTTGCTTCTCCAACCTGGTAGAGATTATGCATGCTGTAATACAGCTCACCAGCTGCAATCAGTCCCTACTGTGTGTCCTGTTGTACTAATGGTTCCTAAAGAAGAAAAATTAGTAGCCATTCTTGAGAGCATACATCTAGCTGCATCCTGGTTATTACAGCTTGGTTCTTTTTCCTTACCAGCATCCTGTGCTGTTGACAGAAGCACCACTAAACCCACTCAAGAACAGAGAACGTGCTGCTGAACTGAAGTGTTTTTTGAGACCTTCAATGTTCCAGCACTGTTCATCTCCATGCAGGCTGTGCTCAGTCTGTAAGTACCTCTCATCTTCAATGTGCACTTGCAAAATGTTTCTTGAAATCTTTTCTTTTTCCCCCCACAAACAAACAGAAAAAAACGAACTGAGAAAGACCACGTTAACATCCGTCTCGTGTCCCTTTGCTAGGTATGCTGCTGGGAGGACCACAGGAGTGGTGCTGGGCTCTGGGGATGGCGTTACCCACGCAGTGCCCATCTGTAAAGGTTTTGCCATGCCTCACTCCATCATGCAGATTGACATTGCAGGCCGCGATGTCTCGCGCTTCCTGAGTCTCTGTCTCCGGAAGGAAGGCTACAACTTCAACACGACCTCAGAGTTGGAGATTGACAAGACCATCAAGGAGGTGACATAGTGTCTGTTTCTGTGCTTATCCACAAAGATCTCTGCCTGTTGGAAGTCATCGCTCCCTAAAATGTAGTGGGAAGTGCCAGCCTACCTAGCTCTGAAACTCGTTCCTTTATCTACCGAAGGGAGGCTAGATGTAAGATGACTAAGGGACTGGAAAATCCCTCCTATGAGGAGGGATTGAGGGGGCTGGGGCTTTTGAGCCTGGAGAATAGAAATTCAGGGAGGATTTCATCATTGTATGTTAATATCTGAGGGGAGAGAGCAAAGAAAACAGAGCCAGACTCATTTCAGTGATGTCTGGTGACAGGATGGGAGGCACAGAGTGATGCACAGGAGGCTCCATCTGAATGTAAAGGAAAGCTTTTTTTTTCATGTAAGGGTGACTGAGCAGCAATTTTATCAGTTCTGATATCCTTCACTAGTATTTGCCTACTCTTCAAGCGAAGACTTTAGAAAATCCTTGGTAGTTTGGGATCGCAAGTGGATTGCTGCTGTTTTTCTCTCTCTGTGGAAATAATTCACTCACAATATTCATATTTAGAAAGGCTTTTTTAATGCAGTGTTTAGTGGCCTTGTAGTTACACAGCAGTTACCTTGGCTTCTCTTGTGTTCCAAGAGAAGAGGGCAGAGGTGGGACAGTGAACAGTAGCTCAGCTGGTGACTGCCCACCATGGCTTTGTGGCATCACAATTCTCACGTGGACAGGTTGCGCTCTGATTTCAGCAAGGCTTTGTGTAGCTTAGGGCTACCTATGCATTTGTGCCTTCAACGCTCAGATCAGTACTGCTGATGCCTGTCAGTTACTGCCATGCTGTTGGCCTCCATCACAGGCTTTAACTGCTGCAGAGAACTCTGGGCTGTGCCAGCAGCCAAGGCTGGAGAACATCAATGAGCTGTTCTTGAGCCTGTGACCTAATGGAAAAAAAAAATGTGATGGAAATAGCTTGCTTGTTCTGCACGGCTGCAGCTCATTGTGGCTGTGCAGGGGAATGAGAGCTCTTCTGCCTGTATAGATAATGTCATCCACTGACCTCAGAGACAGCCTATGAGGGAGTTGGCTAGAGGTCTGAGTTTTGAATAGAAGGCAGAAGATTCCTGCCTTCGCAGTCCCACAAACAAGGGGTCTGGATCAATGAATCTCAAGAGAAAACAGCTGCTACTGAGTAATGCTCCACTTCCCCAAAATGGCCCTGCCACCTTTGAGGAAGCCACCGCTTGCGCCTGGCCTTCTCCCAGTCCCTGGGGCTCTACCTCGGCGTGTACATGCATGCACCCAAGCGAGGGCGGTTCTGTGTCTTCCAGCTGGTGAGCACTGAGCGCAACCGCTACAGCCTTGACCGCATATCCTCGCTGTTCTCCTCCCAGGCGGCTCTCACTGACTTGCAACACCAAGCCTGTAACAGGCAGAACATGTGGGTTTTTTTAGCTTCCCACCAGCTAGACTGACTGTGAAACTTCAGCAGGGGCAATGCTGGGCTTCCCACTCCTGCTTATCAGATTGAGGTAGGCTATCACATTCCCTGCAACCTGGAGAAGAGAGGGGAAAACCTGGAGTGCTGGAGAGAGAAATGTAGAGGATTACTTCAGAACAATCTGAAGAGAGGACAGGAGGAGAGGGAGACCTTGGTGACTGCTTCCTTCCTAACCTCTGAGATTTTCATTCCTCCTCATCCTTACCAGGGATGGATGAGAGAAAGCAGACCTCATGGAAACACATGAGTTTAGATTCTAACTTAAAATTATATGTGTTCCTTCTTACTAGTGGGAGAAGGTAGTAAGTTTAAAAGTTAGTAACTCTATTAGCCCAGAGTATTATAACTGGCGTGGAACACCTCCAGAGGTGGTAAGCACATACCTTTGGTCTTGTAACTTTCCTCATGATCTGCTCATTGTTTGTTGGCTGATCTCCAGTGCAGGGCGAAACGCTCTAAAAATCACTAGTCAAAAGGAAAGACTTCAGCTTACTTAGGGCAACTTCCTGCATTTCTACCCAGTAAGTGCATAGGAGTTGGAACAAACCTTTTATTGCATTTTGCTGACAAAAACAGAAAAATAACCCCCCCAGGTCTCATAGACACATTCAGTTTTCTCCCTACTCATGTTCTGCTTTTATAGTCCATTGCACAGTCACCTTGCATGCAATACCTCTTCTAGCCTAAGGGCAAGCATCATCTGTTTGCACAGTTGTGCTTATAACAGCAAATATTCAATGATGTGACAGAAGTAGCACTGTAAGGACCTTCCTTTCTCATACCCTAATCTATTTTCTCCCTGTCTGTGCATGAATACCTGTGCTTCATCTTCATAAAAAATGAATTGTTGGAGAGAAATACTAGCGAAAGCTTTACACAAGCTGAGATTTTGATGTATTAGTAGTAATATATGGTGTACTATGTTTGTTAGTGCAGTAATCATGTCACCCATACTTGAGCTTATTCATTCAGAACTAGCTTGGGGATCACTTCAAGGCATGAAAACATATTAGCAGACATCCTTAGACAGTGTGCTCAAAAGCACATTGATAACTTCTCTGCTTCGGCACGTCCAGCACTTCACCTTCAAGTATTTTAATGGATCTGGTTTTTACTATTTTTCTTAAAGCAATGTATGCACTTCTTTACAACCAGCATGGGCTTCTTAAAACAATTAATGATTCTGCACGTTGTGCAAGATACTTTAAAGAACATGGTTTTCAGAAAGTGCCAGGCCTCCTTCTTGAGAACAATCAGCCTTGTAAAGTGCCGCATGTTAAACGGCTTAGAGCAGAGCTCCCAAAATTAGTCTTCACTTTCATAAACATTGGCCAATTTCATTTAATTTAGGATCTGGGGAAGTGCTGTGTTCTGCCTCATACGAGTGTCACTAAGCATACAGCACCAGGGTGCCAGGTCACAAGGCATTCTTGTGTTCCTACAGCTTTATTGTAACCTGGTCCTGTTTCTTGTTTTATCTTTCTTGACCCGACTTTCTGAATCTTAGCATGTGTTGTTTTTTTTTTTAACCTGTGCACATCGACAGAGACTCTGTGGGTCCAGGAAGGAGAAGATGTGTAAGGACAGCACTCTAGGAAGCTTCGTAGTAAAATCTAGAGCTTCAATGGGAATTTGATCCTGTAGCTGCTTGGCACATAATTTCTGAAGGGATGGGGAGCAGAGCTCCAGCTGATCCACCGTGAGCTTCTGACTCTGACCTTCTGTCCCCTTGATAAACTGAAAAAAAGAGTTCCAGGTTGTGAGAAACCGGAGATCCAGTTTGTTAAAATAAATCATACATGTAAGGCAAGGGAAAGCGTCAAAACAGCAGCTTTTGATGACTCACTCAATAGCAAAGCACGTAGGAACTGGGAACAAATGGAGAGGCTACATTAAAAGAAACTCTGAAGCCACATAACGTACGATTGATAATCCTCAAAGGATCCAGGATGACCTTGTCCAGGACACAGTCATCCTCACAAGACTAGGATCAGTTTGGAAAACTTGGCTTCAGTCACGAAAAGGAGACTCAGGCGTGTGTTTGCAGGATTGGGTCCTAATTTGACTGCTGCTTCCTCACTTATCCTGACCCATATACGGCCCCCAAAACTGCTCAAAAAGTATTTGAGTGCCTCGCAATTTGTCAAGTATTTATTCCCACAGTATGCACAAGAGAGAAATCCCCACTGCCTTGCAAAGAAGCAGAGCAAAGAGAAATTACATCAGTTGCCTGCATCTCCCAAGGAAAACGTGACACAGACCTGGCAGCACAGTAAGAGATTTTTCATGGCATTTCTGCGCTTATGACAGATATCTAAAGAGGAGGAGGAAAACAGCTGGACCTCACTGTGGGAAGAAATGAGCACTTAACCACACAAGCACGTATCGCTTGATACAGCAGCAACAACAGCACTGCACTGAGCAGAGAGGAGCAGGGCGGTGTAAACAGGTTGGAACAACAGCAGCCATAGCTGGTGTTTAGCTGTGTTGACAGCAGGGGATAGAAAGGGCCCTGTCAGCAGGAATCTCCTGGGAGGAGACCGACCTCATCGCCACAGTCTGTGCAATCCGTCTCAGAACCTGCAGGAGCAGTCCTGGCTGCGAGGGCAGCACAGAGCGCCAGCAGGGAGGACGTGGCAGAGGACCGTTTAGGCAGTGCCAACAGGAATCCCCAGTGGGAACCACTGGCAGCACTGGTACAGAGAAAGGTGGACTTCCAGAGGCATCCCGATTAGTGCGGGAGGGGGTTTGTGAGCACCCCAGAGGTATTTTAGATCCCAAGGAGTGGGATGAGATTACTGCGGCTCTTGTGGAGCATACGATGAGCGCCCAGTTGGGTGCGGCACTTCGGACACGGGGTTTGATGTTGGCAATATTAAAAACAGCAAAGGAGAAAGGAGAAGCGACGGAGGCCTCCCTCAACTTCAAGCCATTTCCCCTCGTCCTGCAGTTGTCAGCCCTTTCCAAGAGTTGAATTCCCCTCCTGTTTGTAGGCTCCCTTTAGGTACTGAAGGCTGCAGGGAGGTCACTCCGCAGCCTTCTTTTCTCCAGGCTGAACAAGCCCAGCTCCCTCAGCCTGTCTTCATAGGGGAGGTGCCTCAGACCCCTGATCATCTTTGCGGCCCTCCTCTGTGTGGAGGAGGACAGAAGTGCACTTGCAGACGATCTTTCTCAGTGTGATTAACTTTGCTGGACCCACCGCTCCTCCGGGGTGTCCCACAAAGTTCCCAGCGTGTGAGCAAAAGCCTTTTATGAATCATTTTTTAATCAGCGTCCCCTAGTCCTGGGATACTGCACTACTTCAAAGAGCATTCCAGCTTTCACCTCACCCTCTTTCTGCGGTGTGTTTCCAAACTCTAGCACTGTAGGTAGAGTTTTCTGATGCTTTTAACAAAGCTTTTTGACAGAATGCCTCCTGTTGAAATAGTTGCTCCAATGTTATTTGTCAGCTGAGAAGCGTTCCTATGTAGCCTGTCCCAAAGACTTATGTGAGGTTTAGGGTTCCCATGTGCTGGTCATGAATCAGTGTCAAAAATGGGACAGGCCCTGTTCAAAGAGTTTGGAAGTTGCTTGTTCCAGCACTGAGCTGTAGATGCAGCTGACAACCAGATGCAAATGATTCCAAGTTGCTAATCATACAGTAAACTGAGTGTTTTCTTCTCCTAAGTAAGATTTGAGCCTCTATCCATTTGTGCAGCGGAGGATATTTTAATGCCTAGTGATCTAGCAAACCTGGCTTTTACCCGTAATTACAGAGGATTATAGCAAGGAGAAAAATGAATTCTAAGAGATTTACTTGTTTATCAAGGATCTCCCTTTAATATCACTTAAGCTGAAAGTAATTGCTAGTGTGTAGTCTTGCCTGTAATGACTCTTACTTAGCAGTACAGGTGTGTTGTTTCAAGTGCTGACCCAGCTACCTGCTCATGTGATGGTGTTTCTGCAGACAGTGTCCCCTCTGCAGCCCCTTTCCAGAAATCCTCCCACTAAGGCTTTGTATTGCATCCTCCATCCTTTCAGCTGCATGGGGACCTGGTCTCCTGCACCTCACCTGCTCCTTGTCTGCAGCAGGACTGGTGGGACACTACACTCCAGGCTTGTGTTTTCCTGCCATGGCAGCAGCAATGACAGCAAGTAGGCAGCTTGGTAAGAGATCCAAGTGGTCACAAAATGGTAAAGTGCTCAGAGCCCTTCTCTAATGCCAAGGTGTCATGGTTCTATGTATTTTGTTTTTTGGGTTTCAGTATTCCACATCAAAACTTCATGCAGTGTACGGGGCATTAAAGTGTCACTGCTCCAACCCCAGGTACCTATCCCTGTACATTACGGGAGTCACGGGATCTGGCCCTTCCAGGTGGGGGGGCGCTCTCTTGCTGCCTTGCAGTGGGTGCTCGAGGGTGCTTTCCTAGCTCTGCGTCTCTCTCCGGCGCCGCAGTGGAGTCGGAGACCCACCTAACATGGCGCCGAGCGGCACAGCCCTGCCTTCCATCTCCACCTTCCTCCCGTCACGCATCGCGTGACCGCCGCAGTTCCGGTTCCGCCGCGGCGGTGATTGGCTCCTTCTCTCTCTGGGCCGGAAGCGAGCGTTCCGGCAGCGAAGTTCGAAAGCGAAGCGCCGCGCCGCGCCGCGCTCCGTGCAGCCGGTGGGCGTCCCGCTCGCTTTTGGCCCGGCTCTGCGGTGCCGGTTCGCGGCGGAGGCCGGGTGGCCCTGGAAAGGGGGAGCTCGGAGTAGCGCTCCGTGCATCTCTGCACCGAGGCGTCTCTGTACCGGGCTCGTCCGGGCGGGAGCGGCCCTTCCTCGGGCGCCGGGCGGCTGTAAAGATACCACTGTTGGATTTCGGTGTGCACAGCTCTCATCTGACTTCGTCCTGGGCTGTTTTCTCAGTCATGTGAGTGTGAACGCCAGTGGAGTACTTCCAAATGAAGTGCTTCTCCTCATTCAAAATTGTTAAACGCTAGTTTTGAAATACAATTAAACGATTATTCTCCTTCTCTTTTGCTTTGTACAGCTACACCCTGAAATGCCAAACGAAGCCAGATTTTGGCGAAGAATCGATGGAGTTAGAAGCGTGTTGGCTCAGTAAGAATGAAGCAGCTGGTATCAGGAGACAGAGGCCAGAGGCTTAGAGGGCATGCTTGGTCTACAAGAGGCCGGTGGAAGACTTTTTATCCAGCTGCCACGTGTGACTGCTGCTCAGAAAGCCACAATGTTGTACTGAGACTTGAATCATCATTTTAGAAAAATCAGTTTGGAAAGGTAACTTGTGATCTCCTTCACAGCCGTATTTGAGAAATCTTGCCGGCTTGTCCCCTGACCTCTGCAGACAGTTCTCTATCCTGAGCCCTTCCTCAAGGGCTCACACTCAGAAGTGCACGTCACGTGAAAGTCTGAGTCCTAAGACTTGTAAAATCTGGCAGGAAGAACTATTGACGTTGAAACTGTTGATTCCCATAGAGATGCTTGTATAGTGTAGTGATTCTGGTTTGTGTGTTCAGCTGCACGGCTTTTCCATCTGCTAGTTGTTTTGCTTTTTTTTGAATATATGACTCCTAGAATGTTACTGTTTGGTTTTAAAAAGTTAACATAAACAAGAAAGCTCCCTTTCAGTAAGGGATCATATTCAGTAAGCTTGTCATGTTCTGAAAGACTGTTTAGTGTTTCAGCTTAGGAGAGACAGTTCAGCAAGTGATTCGTGTGCGCGCAGTTGATTGCAACTATCAGTCTTTAGAACTACAGAGCACCGGATGAAGCGTGTTAGAACTTTGCCTTAAAGAAAAATGGTGGGTCTGGGGAAGAAGCCAATAAGTTCTTGTTTTAGTTCAGTTCATTTCTTGTGCCTGTTACAAAGGAAGACATTGATGTGTTAAGTGCATAACCAAATGAACTTTGTTGTTAAAGGGAGAGACAGCGCTTGACCTTGCAATTCAAACTCAGAATCGCTTTGTCGTTTATATGTTAATGGAGGAAGGAAGAATGAGAAGCAGAAGGAATGACAGGTTACTGAGAATGATGGAGAAATACGAGGTAATGTCACTAATGGAAGGAAAGCTTCAGCGTTCCGTGTTCAGAATAATCTGTAACTTACCTCCGTTCTGACAACAGGATCTTCTAGGCTTCCAAACCTGGACACTCAAAAATGAAATGTTTTAGAAGCACCTTCCTGTTCTTTGGGTGTTTGTTCCCCCCTTTCGCCCCCCCCCGCCCCCCCCCGTTGTTGTTTTCCCTGCCTCCTTATCCCCTGTGTTTTGATGTGTCACTTTGTTCCCTATCTTGAGTCACTCAGCATTCGTTCTTATATTAAGTGTATATATTGGAATAAATCCTGCTTGAATATTCTGTCCGATTTTAACAGTGATCATTTTAACAGCTGTTCCTGCTGCTGGCATCTTGCTTGACTGATGTGGGCCATAGGATACGTAATGAACTTGAGTTCTGATTCCTGGCTTTTGAAAGGATGCCTGCTTCTCTTTCTGCTGGTTGGGATGGCTCTGTCTGTGAGGTTTGTGGATTTCTCTCTTTCTGTCCTTTAGATCTAGGGGGGGAACGTTGTTATGAACCAGCCCTTTCTGAATTCTTTTAGCTTCATAAAGAAATTACTACCAAGGTTTCCCTGTTATACTGAAAATCTTAATTTCCTCATGTGCTAGCAGATGAAATCTTCCTTAGCGTTAACTTCAAAAATTTGAGTTGAACTCCATCTTCTATCCCTATTAAATGTGACGCAGGTTAAAAAATGTCAACAGAGGAGTAATGATGAATAGAACGTTGTTGTGTTTCTTCTGTTAGAGCTGTCTTTGCCGACAGCTTTATCCCTTAACTACTGCTTCCCTAGGGATCACGTATTGTTAATGCCTGCTGTTGTCTTTTGTAGGTTTATTAATGAGTATTTCTCATTTTTCAGTCTTGGATGCTTCCAGAATCTTGCCGACTTCTTTCAATGCAGATGTTTTGGTATGGTCAAACCCAGTGGAGTTGGCTGGACCAAGCAATACAACGTTCACGTGATAAAGAAGAAAAACGTTTGCTGTGTATGAATTCTTGCTTGATTTCTAAAGCTGCTGAGCTGTGTGAGAAATAAAACTGGATGTTTTGTTAATTTTTATATTCTTCCAAAATCTGCTTGTTTTTATTTTTTTATTGTTCTTAATATTAAAACTTTCTTGTGTAAGGGGCAGCAGATGCGGGTATGAAACAATTACTGTGCCTCTTTATGTACAGCATGAGCTGACACTTTTTGAAGTTTTATTTGAAAAGGTGACACTAAATATACTTCCTCAAAAGGTTGTTTTTAGGGCAGAATTTGGAAACTTTGTTAGTGCCCTTTGTATTATTTTGCAAATAATAAAATTGCATTTGAAAAATGAAGGGGGAAGTTCAATATCAAAATTGGCCTGTAAGTGGTTATCTTAGATTGTGAACACAACCTAATGACGCTCTGTATTTGGGTGTTTTACTTGTGACAAAACAGAAATTTTAATGCTTCTAAGAATATTTTACAGGTTGAAACAGATTTGTGAGATATATGAGCAGGGAAGTGTTTAAGAACAGGTAAGCACAAAGCCATAAGTAAAAGCCTGTTTGCCTTACGTTTTGCTTGCGCGTATGCCCTGTTAGCTTCTGGAAATTGATAAGGAGATGATAGAAAGTATTAGCATGTATGGAAAAGACAACTATTCTCCCCGGCATGCACAGATCTATAACAGCTGCCACATCAGTCATGTTCACAAGATGCGAAGGCTGCAGCATCGTTCCAGCGTGGCAGGCTGGGCAGTGTGTTGGGAGTCAAAATACTTCATAATAAAAACTGGCAGGGAAGCAGATTGAGATCAGAAAACCAAAGTTCAATGCTGTCTAGAACTGACAGTGCAGAATAAAGCAGTGTAATGAGACAGAGTTCTTGCAGGTAAGGAATGGGAGGTATCATCTTCCCCCTGAAATGCAGTAGTTGTGGCACCGTGGGACGTAAAGCACAAGCAAATTGAAGTAAACAAAAATGTGAAGCAATATGAGTGCTTTATTTAGCTTGAAAAATGTACAATAACAAAACTGAAACACTGTATTCTAAGAAAACTTGCTTTTTCTTCAGAAGGCTCTCCATTTTAGAGAGAGAATTTCAAATTCTTCTGAAGTATGTGTCCAAGTAACTGATGTCTACTCTGTCCTAGTAGAAACAATGTCGAAATCTTCAAAACGCTAGGAGGAAACTGGCCTAGATCAGAAGACCGTAGTGACAAGCTGCCCATTTTGCTTCATAGGGTATGTTGGTCTGAATGGGACACCTCTGACCCTTGTGATTCATGGGGTAGCTCTGTCTGAATGGGACAACCTGGAGGTTCTTACCTACGAACTCCAACAGCTGTAACGTTCCCTCAGCCCTGCTCTGTCACATCTGTCTCCCATCCCTTCCCCCTTTGGACCTAGTATAAAGACCTGGTAATCAATTACAGAATGACAGAATGGCCCAGGGTTGGAAAGGACCTCAAGGATCATGAATCCCCAACCCCCCTGCCACACGCAGGGCCACCAACCTCCCCATTTAACGCTAGACCAGGCTGCCCAGGGCCGCATCCAACCTGGCCTTGAACACCTCCAGGGATGGGGCATCCACAACCTCTCTGGGCAGCTGTTCCAGCACCTCACCACTCTCTCTGTAAAGAATTTCCCCCTGACATCCAACCTAAATCCCCCCTCCTTCAACTTCAAGCTGTTTCCCCTTGTCCTGCAGTTGTCAGCCCTTTCCAAGAGTTGATTCCCCTCCTGTCTGTAGGCTCCCTTTAGGTACTGAAAGGCTGCAGTGAGGTCACCCTGCAGCCTTCTTTTCTCCAGGCTGAACAAGCCCAGCTCCCTCAGCCTGTCTTCATAGGGGAGGTGCTCCAGCCCCCTGATCATCTTCGTGGCCCTCCTCTGGACCCTCTCCAACAGCTGCCTGTCTTTTTTGTACTGGGGGCTCCACACCTGGACGCAGAGAGCTTGTTCCCCAGCACACTTCTGCCCTGCTTGCTCACTTGGAGTCCATCAGGAGCCCATATACCGAATTTCTCAAAGGCCTGCCCGAGACCAAAACGCCCAAAGCCTTGATCGAGACGCCATCCCCTAGCCAGTCATTTACCTGACACGTTCTCCTCCATCTTTGTGGCTCCCAGCTACCCACCAGAAGGGCACAGGAGAACTCTGCCCGCACCCCTGATCCCTTCAGCATCTTTCCTCGTTGCAGCATCCTGGGTCCCAGCCTGAGTGACAGTAGAAGGAGAGCAGTCTTGTGCCTTAATGAGCCACAGACGAACCTTCCTGATGCCTCTAACACGTGCCCCTGGAAGAGATCACGCCTCACTGGAGCGATTATCCCGGTGGCAACTGGGAGCCTCAGTGCTCCCCAGCAACGAGTCCCCAGTTACCAAGACTCTCCGCCCTTTTCTGGTGGCACTGGTATTGATGCAGTGCCTGACGGGCCCCGCTCCCTCTGCCTGTTACTCCCTGTACTCTCAGTGTGCTTCTCAGGGCATGAGTTTGGACTACTCCTTGCTATCCCTCTCCTGCGGGAGAGGGCCTCGAATCTGCTACTCAGGGACACTGTAGGGGATATTGCAGGGGTTGGCAATGCTGTGGGGGCTTGGGGGCAGATGCTTTCTTCTGCTTTGAGCGGAGATGAGGGTCCAACCCCTTTCCTCTCACGGGCTCTCTAGATCCCTGACCTGAAGGTAAGCAGCTGGATGGGCTACTGCCACTTGCAGGAACTTTGGATAAGGCTGCGTTTCTGCAGTGGAAGTAGGCTCACACCTCCTCCTATCTGTCTCCCTCAGATATTCCCATGCGCTCCTAAGGCTGCTGATTTCTTGCAGCAGCCTGGCCGTCTGCTCCAGCAGCTCCTTGAGAAGGATACACCTGCAGCCAGGTTCTTTTAACTTAACAGGGAGAAGGGATAGGCAGATGGGAGCTGAGCTCAGGGGAGGAAAGCAGGCAGCAGCAACAATCTATGGAGGAAAGCTTGTTTTACTAACTAGGATGTGGGAATGCAAGATAACGCAGTATAATACAATCTAATTGAAATTGAGACTGATGGATCAAATAAAATAGGAGCGAAAGAGAGTTACTGAGAGCGAGTCAAAACTGAAAAGCCTGGTACATGTAGGGAAGCAGACTCCTATCCCTGCTGCAAGGCAGTAAGAGATCGCCCAACAGGGAAGGGGCAGATCCCATGGCTTCCGAGATGTGCAGGGACAGGTGCCTGGAACAGGAGCACGAACACTGTAACTCCCAGCGCATGGCACGGTGTTATGATGCAGAATACCAAAAACCAAAAGCCACAGAGCCATGAAAGTGTGGTGAGATATTTCCTGTATTGGAATCTAAATGGAAATCACAATGAGCTGGGTGGCCTCCTGCTTCTCTTCTGCAGTGCCAGACAAGTCCATGTACCGCAGCACCGCTGCAGGTCGTCCTACGGCCCAGCGCTGTGGAGGGCAGTTCTGCCCAACCCCGTGACGTCTCTACCCCCCAGCGCAGCTTACAGCCACTGTGCTCAGCCTCCATGTTGAGCTGGGGCCCCACGGCCGCCCCCCCCCACAGCGCAGAGGGCCGCAGCCCCGCCCTCCATTATGAGCTGGGCCGGAAGGCCGCACCGGCCAATAGCTGCAGGCCGCAGCCCCGCCCGCCATTATGTGCCAGGCAGGCCCGCGGTATAAAAGGCCGCTGGCGCAGCCCCACGGCATTCACTGTCTGCACTGTCTGGCGACAGGGACGAGAGGCAGTGGGCGCTACGGGGTCAGGGGCAGCTGTCCTTGAGACCCCAGCTAGGAGTGACCGTCGGTGGCCTTTGGCCACAGCGTTTGGAGGCCGAGGGTCTCCTCACATCCCCGTGATGACCATGCTGCGGGGCAACGCGGGACGGGGCCAGGCAAAGCAGAGCAGCCGGCCCAATCCCCGCCGGGGCCCAGCAAAGCCCCCTGCCTGCCCTGCGCAGCGGGAGGAGCGCGGGCGGGGGCTGAAGGCGCTGCGGGCCCAGCTGGAGGGTGAACGGCTC